CCATTATTACAAATTCATTAACCGACTATATTTCATTTCTTCTATGTTTTGGAAAGGGTCATATAAATATCTCTTACTACTTAATTAGAAAAAACAAAATATTATTAGCCTTCATGACATTAAGCACTAATATTGTTCTTTAGTTTCACAGTTAATTTCAGCTTTAAATTCTATTTAATCTATTTTTCTGAAAAGCTAATTAAGTTGTCTATATCAACTTTCAAAAAATAAGCGATAGTCATGATGTATAATAAATAGGGAAGAAGAAGCAAGCAAAATAATTCATTGCTTACGCATACTGTTTTGTTTTTTTTTTGCTGTGTAAACCACCTTATTCAATCCATTATTATAATACTGCCTCTAACTCCGGCTCCAGCGTAATCACACTTAAAACTGTTTGTCCCTTCGTATTATGTTTAATAAAATCCGAGACCCCCAAACAATTCTTTCCCACGTGTTTCGGTTTTCTTATCCACTATCCATAACTGTAGCTTATTATGCATTTACTTTTTATATCTACAGCTTAGTTATATATCACTTTCATCTACAATAATGTCGTCCGACACTAACTACCCGAAACGTATCTGTGTGTGTTTTGGCGATTTCAAAGGTTAAAAAAAATTTAAGCTATCAGAGTTTTCTTTTCTTCTCTTTTTTCATTTTTTTTTATTTTTTCTCCTTCATTACATGAAATTTCTGTTTCTACAATATTCAAACACGAATCCTCGATTTCCTCCGCTCATTAACTCATCAGAGACGGGGAGCGCGGTTGCAAGAATTGCAGTACAAAAATAGGGTTCGCAAGTTTGTTTTTCTCATTGTCAGAAATACAGTTACAACAGATTCTGCAGGTTGACGGCTTCTCTTCTTAACTCCACAAATTACATTGTTTGAAAACCAATTGGTGTTCATGCCAGTCCAACAGTTTAGATCTTCACATTGCACGTCTACTGCCAGTACTATGTAGTTCGCGCACTGTATAATCTCCGCCGGGAAAACACGCCTGTCCATTCTTGGAGGGGGCACGTTATATATCCGGCTTATGTTTTATTCAATTACATAGTTCCACCTGGGCTCCGCCACCGCCACCAGCCATACCGTCTGAAATATGTTTACGTAATTTAAAAAAATGTTTTTAAACTTTACTTCTCTCTTCCGAAAATACTACTCTCGGCACGAAGCATCCTCCTTGTATTTCTTCATCGCCTGCCGTGATCAAACCAGCTACAGAATAAACTAGCCATCTCACCAATTGAACCTGCCATTCCTTATGAAAAAATCTCGTACAACGCCGATCAAAATTCCTCGAATGGAACAATAACCCAGCACGTAACATAAACCATAAGCCATAATGATGTTCCCATTATCATCGCTAAACAACCCAGCCGGTTGCCTTTAGAAGCAATACATCAGTGTATAATTACTACCCAATCAGCTGGCGGAAACGCCACAAGACCTAATTAGGTCTCTTCCAAACCTGTCCATAACCCTCTCTCTCTGCTCCTATGCTTTGTAAAGTTTAGCAGCACATAATTCGACAAATCAACTTTTTAGACAGCCCCCGGTTTAAGGACTCATTGAGCTTAAAGCCCACAAACATTGCTTCGTTATTCTTACCACCCATCAACATTCCTCCACTGCTCCACCTCAAATCCAAATTCATACAGACGATATAACTTAAAGAAAAGTGACAGAAACCAAACTCAATTTTTAGGCGTTCCCACATGGTTTAACGCACCGGTTTAGTTTTTATTAGGACACATCGCCAACCGTACACATCCAACTAATTCTATTCTTCTCCAACTTCCATCTAACTTTTTTTAGACCTTTGCTTCCTAGCTCTGTAACTATAACTAACTCATCATCATCACTACTTCAAACTACATACCAAATCATTTTAATAATATTTCTAAACACTATTTAAATTATATAACATCTAAAATACTATACCAATAATTTGACGTTGTTCTCTTAAAAATAATCGATTTTTAATTCGCTTTTAAACCGTAACCCACCAAAGTTCCTATACTTTTTAATCAAAATAAATAATCAAAATCATAAATTCTAAATCACCATAATATTCCATACATATATCTAAAACCCTAACGAACTAATTTTATTCTACTTGGTTTAGTCTCAAAAATTGAACTCCCCGGTGAATTTTCAATTTTAAAATGTTAGCTTTCTCCCTTTTTCAATCCAATCCCAAATGATCCAATTGTTATCAAAAGCAAAACTAATAATATTAAATATAAAAAGAATATATTTTGTTTTCCTTATCTCTCCCGATAAACTCTATAATTTATAATGATCTAAGGATGCAGTAATAGATTTACATGTAACTAGTTTTCCGGTCTTAAGCATACTTTGACACTAAATCAGCGTCCGCCCCTAGTATTAGCTCCCATATAATATTCCCTCTTCGTCAGGTGACTTCCCTCCTTCTGTACCACTTTCATCTTCGCTGGTTTGTTAGAAAAGTGCTCAAATCAATTGAACTTAAACAGAATGCTCCTCCGACCTAGGTTCGGAAGATAAATGAACATATAGGCAAAAAATGTCATTTTGTCGCCCATCATTACCGATTCGCCATTTCTTAAACAGTCAGTAATTCACTCTTTTGGTCCTGCTCTCTTGAAGTCTCTACTATAGCATAAGATGATGTTTTCACCATGTATCATCGAGAAGAATATCAATTCAGCATCCGCGTCTCCTTAGATTACTCGGGCCACCGCAATCTCCCCGAACAATCATCGTTTCAAGCTCTATGAAAGATTCGTGAGGCACGGCAGTTATTGTTTTGTTTCTGTCTTTGGCTTCCTTTTTACATTATAACTTTCAATTCAATTTACATAACAATCAAAATATCCTTCAAAACTTTTCATCGGTTTCAAGAAATTAACCAATCCATCTCTGAAATTGAAAGAATTTTCACCTTACCAGGAGCCAAAATGGATCTCAAAATAAATTTAGTTTCTAGAGAATATTTGACTGATACTCCGATATTTTAGCTACTTTGGGTCTTAGTTTTATTTTATTTGCTCGCACGCAGCAAGAAAACTCAAACTTTCAACCCTGACTTTTTGCTTATTCGAACTCCTTGGTTTATGAACACTTTCTTAGCTGTCTCTTATCATTATGACACTAGGACTAACCTCGCCATATTGCAATATTCTAAAAAATCGAAGTGATGTGCTACTTAATGAATTATCCTAATGAGCATCTTACAGTCCTATTATTAATGTGTGTATTCTGAGATCAAGTTCTCTGGGTAGCCTATTCTAGTAAATATCTGCTCACTCTCAGAAAATATGGAGAAGCCAGTCGTTACAGAAACTTGTGTGAAAATCCAAATTTGCACTTCTACTTCTGCTTCCTTGATGCATTATTTTAGATATTTATTTGTTTCTAGATCTTTATCATATTACCTTCGACTGAATAGCCTTTAATAAACCTGTATTGCAAGACTGGAACAATGAATATAGTTATTCAATTTTCTATCTGCCCACTTCATAAACTTGTTACGTATCCCTGTCTTCTCATAAAAGAATAAACCAGCCAAAAAGCTTTTCTCCATTGTGTTTAGCTCAAAATTTCAGACATTCTTTATACGGTAACGTCTACAATAAAATTAGTCAATTTTTTGTAGATAATTGATTAGAGTCTTCTTCGCCTTGCACTCCTTCAGTAGATTGAATGAATTATTTTTCGTGCGGTAAACATCATTTCTTAAATTGTTGCGATTTCCTTGTACCATGGTCGGCATGGCTACTCCTGTTCCTGTAGCAAATAACAGGCATAAAACATTGGTTAAAGTTCATCCCGAATGGACAGTATTTGTAACCATTTCCATTAATATCATGCTTTAGTGTTCAGGCCATTTTAAGGGAAATTTTAGACAGCCTGTTATACCATGGAAATTAAGTTATATGCTTCCTTTACCAATCTAAACTCTTTAAAAAATTATAGTTGGTAATTTTCCTCCAGTGTACCAAATTATTGATCTGTATAACGATATATGGCAGTGCTTTTCTTGCAGAAGCCAGGGGCCAGTTTTCAAATTTGATTTCCAAACCATTAAGTATCCTGCATATACTTGAATGTTTCTTCTAGAGGATTATGAAACTTTTTTAAATGACCTTGTCTTACAAGAGTGGCTTTTATCCTCATAATTATGCATGTTCTGCTGTTTTATTAGATAAATGCAGAAGTACTTAAACTTTTTGTTAGTATGTATCATATTAGGAAAATGGAGCTACTCATTTTATCTATTCCAGTACTTGTTTGCCTTAGTGTTTGTTGAACTTTTCAGAAAGCCAAAATGAGAGTAGAAAGAATATGTTTTTGCCCAATACTCATCATTCCTTTAGCCAATACAAATTGTTATTTTATTAATCTTTTAGGATGAAAAGACAATGTAACATACTTAGTTGGATGGCAAACTTCCAAGTTCAGATTTTTCTAAAAAAGTGTTTGTTAAGAAAATCTGAAAGCCCATTTTTTTTCACTCGATACTTCTTTTATCTCTCTCATCAGTGCCACTGATATTGGTTTGCTACTTAATAGTTAATAATTCCTAGATTTTACACCTCATCATGCCCCTAATTGTAGATTCACTTGTATTTCAAGGTTTGTTAGTTTTCCTCATTAATCAGTATTTTTCCTATGTCTATTGAATGTATATTTCTCTACTCTCTCTTCTCTCTCTCTCTCCTCCTCTCTCTCTCTCTCTCTCTCTCTCTCTCTCTCTCTCTCTCTGTCTAGTACCCACTTATTGGCGTAAACAATAATATCTCTCTCTCTCTCTCTCTCTCTCTCTCTCTCTCTCTCTCTCTCTCTCTCTGTCAGTACCACTTATTGGGTGTACAATAATAAATCCTTATTGTATTTTAAACCTCTGTCATGTCCTAAATGTAGTTCACTTGTATTCAAATTTGTTAGTTTTCCTATTATGGTTTTATTTCTCTGCTCTATTGAGTGCATTTATATACACAAACTGTTAAATGTATCTTCTGTATCTACAACTTAACATTTTCATCTTTTGTTGTAGCTAATACCTGATGACATGGAGTTCCAATCTGGGGATATGCCAAACTACACAACTTCAGATGGATCAGTATACTTTGCTTTGGACCTCTTCTGAATGAGAATCTTCTCTTTTTTTTTTTCTTTGGTTGTGTGACAAACTTACACTTGTTATTCATGTGTGACACATCTTTCAGGTTAAGATTCAAAAGGATAGTGAAGTACGACTAAAGATAATTGGGACTCGAGTTGATGCTACAGAAATTGTATGTGCTTAAATCTCGTGTTTATTTCTTGATATCTCGCTACTTTCTCTCATCAGCCATAAGTTCAGATGGAATTTCCTTTCTCTGGACTAGAATTATAAAGAATTTATGCTCTTTAGAACCGGGTTGTGGTTGGCATCTAATGAGAATTATTTTACAAAGGGAGGAATATAATTTCCATTTTAGTGCACGTGATATGATTTGGAGAATTAGGGAATGCTCAAATATATGAACTGCTTTGGCATTGATATATATCTGGGTTAAATGAATTCCTTTGTTTATGCACCTTTTTAGCATTTTATATTTATATGACCTGTTTCAGCTGATGTATTTCCATGGAAATGACAATATTGCAAAGTACGACAGAAACAAAAAAAAGAAGCTTACTTGTTTCACCAATTATGTTGCAGAAGTTTTCCATTTTGGTTTCAACTTATATAGTTCTGTGCTTTTCTGTCATTGTCAGCATCAGTTCGGCTCCAGTCTACCTTATAGTTTTGGATATAATAATATCTGGATAAAGGGGATCCAGAAACTATAGTTTGTTTGGGTTGTTTTCAATAGATGGTGGTTTCATACATTTAGCACTTGAAAAGCAATTTAGGGAATATAACCATTTATAATTTTGTTTTGCAGTGATCAAAATCTAGTTCTTATTGTGTTTTTTTTTTTTTTCTTCTATTGTCTGCAGTTCTGCATCGGTACCATAAAGGACGATTTCCTGGGTGTGATCAATGATCCAACAGGCGCTTAGTGGAGTTGCTCACAAGAAACTTCTAGTGCATCAAACTTACCTTCTTGCAATGTATTACTGCTTACTGTATGGTTCCAAGGGCATTAACTTTGTCTTGGACCTTAAGAATTACTGGTACCATATATTGCTGAATCACTGTAGTAGGTTTCTTTTTCAGGCAATTGAAATTAGAACCTTGGAAATCATTCTTTATTTTCAAGCTTGATGGTCGAGTCTACCGAGTCAAAACACGCTTGGGTTCAACTTGCAGAATCTTTGAGTTCGAGTTTGAGCTCGAGCTTATTCAAGTTTATTTTGCACATTAATTTGAGAATAGATAAACTTGTCTGAAATTTTGATACTAAATGAGTTGAGCTCGTGTAATTTGATTTTTCTATTATAGTTACAACAACCCTAAGCCTGATTCCAAGCTTGGAACTAAGGTTTAGTTTAGTTGAGTTCAAAATAATTGATTGCATCCGGAAAAATTGGAGGGATTAGAATTTTCTTTTTTTTTTTGTTTTTTTTTGTGCCATCAGTATTAAAATGACATTTAACATAATTAGATCAAATTTTATTCTCTGTATATAAATTCTATAGTTTAAATTCATCTGTTCCAAATCAATTGAAAATTTGATAAATAAAATCTTAAATAAAATATAAATTGTTAAGTTAAAGCGTGCAAATATTGATCCGACGGATGATTGTTATAATTTTTGAAACAATAATTTATATATTTTTCAATTATCTAATTAGTGTTTATCAATATAATTTTATAATAATTTATATATTTTTCGATTATCTAATTAGTATTGATCAATTTAATTTTATAAATTAAAATATATGATAGAAATTTTTTACAAAATTAAAGATATTTAATAAGTTTTATTTTTTAAATTGAAGTATTTAATATATAAAAATAAAAATTTAAAGTATTGCAAATTTTTTATATAAATTATTAGGTGGAAGTTATACACTACGTGATACATTTTGCTTAATATTTTTTTTTTTTTTTAGGACCGGCGCATGAGTTTTTTGTACTAATGTACAGCAGCATATATTAGAAAAATCCCAAGATCCCAAAATCATACAAAAGAAATACATTCAATTGGTCTGAGATTTTCAGAGAGGGAGATGAACTATATGAAGCAAAACCAAGTAGAAAATCTTCTTGAAAGAATTGAAACCATTTTGGTCTTTAAATCTTAGAAGCAGAAGGCCATAATTTTATCATCTTCTCAATGTGGGCTTTTCGCTCTCCTCAAACCGCCAAACCACCTTCCTATGCCTCTTTCTTACATCGTTCCTCTGCAAAGCCACCAATTTGCTTCATAAACGTAAACCCCAGATACACCTCCTCCTCAACCAATAATAACCAGCTAATACAGTCTCTATGTGAACAAGGTAACCTAAAACAAGCACTTAAGCTCCTTACAGTTGAGCCTGAACCAACCCAACACACTTATGAGCTTCTGCTTCTTACTTGCACCCGTCAAAACTCTCTCATTGATGCTCAATTTGTTCACCGCCACCTTCTTGAGAATGGGTTTGATCAAGATCCGTTTTTGGCTACTAAACTCATTAATATGTATTCGTTTTTTGGCTCCATTGATAATGTACGCAAAGTGTTTGATAAAACTCGCAGGAGAACTATCTATGTTTATAACGCTCACTTTCGTGCACTTACTTTGGCGGGTCATGGAGAAGAGGTGTTGCGTTTGTATCGTAGGATAAATTCTCTTGGTATTCCCTCTGATAGATTTACATATACATATGTACTTAAAGCTTGTGTTGCATCGGATGCTATGATATCACTACTAAAGCAGGGGAAGGAGATTCATGCCCAACTTTTGCGACGTGGGTATGAGGCACATGTTCATATTATGACTACTTTGATAGATATGTATGCAAGATTTGGTTGTGCATCGTATGCAAGTTCTGTTTTTAGTGAAATGCCAGTGAAAAATGTGGTTTCTTGGAGTGCTATGATTGCGTGTTATGCAAAGAATGGAAAACCTTTTGAGGCATTGGAGCTTTTCAGAGAAATGATTCTTGAAACCAAAGATTTGTGTCCAAATTCTGTGACAATGGTTAGTGTGCTTCAAGCTTGTGCTGCTCTTGCAGCTCTAGAGCAAGGGAGGCCGATACATGGGTATATTCTTAGGAGAGGACTTGATAGTATCTTGCCAGTTATTAGTGCCCTTGTTACTATGTATGCAAGATGTGGTAAGCTTGAATTGGGGCAAAAGGTTTTTGATCAGATGGATAAGAGAGATGTTGTTTCCTGGAATTCTTTGATCTCGAGTTACGGGGTTCATGGATTTGGAAAGAAAGCAATCCAAATTTTTGAAGAAATGACTGATAAAGGTGTACTGCCGAGTCCTATATCATTTGTTAGTGTATTAGGAGCTTGCAGCCATGCAGGCCTTGTTGAGGAGGGGAAGAGTTTGTTTGAGTCGATGCATAAGAAGTATGGGATATACCCTAGTGTAGAGCATTATGCTTCTATGGTGGACCTCCTTGGTCGTGCCAATAGGTTAGAGGAGGCTGCTAAAGTTATTCAGGATATGCGAATTGAACCAGGGCCCAAGGTTTGGGGTTCTCTCCTTGGATCATGTAGAATACATTGTAATGTTAAACTTGCAGAGAGGGCAAGCATGAGGCTTTTTCAGCTTGAGCCTACAAATGCTGGGAATTATGTGCTTCTTGCTGACGTTTATGCAGAAGCTGGTATCTGGGATGGAGTAAAAAGAGTGAAGAAGCTGCTGGAAGCTCAAGGACTACAAAAAGTACCCGGTTGCAGTTGGATTGAAGTTAAAAGAAAAATATACTCATTTGTGTCTGTTGATGAGTTCAATCCACAGATTGAGCAGCTCCACGCTTTTTTAGTTAAACTATCAACAGAGATGAAGGAGAAAGGCTACGTGCCACAAACTAAAGTTGTGCTCTATGATCTTGATGCAGGGGAAAAGGAGCGAATTGTACTAGGCCATAGCGAAAAACTAGCTGTTGCATTTGGGCTTATCAATACAAGGAAAGGGGAAACAATCCGGATCTCCAAAAACTTGAGGTTATGTGAAGATTGCCATTCCTTTACAAAGTTCATTTCCAAGTTCACCAATAAAGAGATTTTGGTAAGAGATGTGAATCGCTTTCACCATTTCCAAGGTGGGGTTTGTTCTTGTGGGGATTATTGGTGATTATATGCAATAACCAGTTTGATTTTTTTTTTTTTTTCCCTCATAATAAATAATTTTCATAAGTTATACCGAAAAAAAAAAAAATTCCATAAGAGCTTAGGTCACACAAATATATGTATAGTAGCATACATATTTGTTTGAGAAATTCTAATGAAAACTCTTGAGGAACCTTTATATTTTTGTTATTGCATCAACTTTCAAATACTTCTATTATTTAAGCACTCGTATGCAATTCTAATTTTTTTTCTGTCAACAATAAAAATAATTATGCTTGTAAGCAGAGATTAAATGGAATCTGATACTATATTAAAAAGGAAAAAGAATCATCCGAAAAAGGTGAAGATTTGTTGCCATAACTCAGATTAATTGCCTCTAATTTCTTCCAAGTATAATTTGATTTACATGTGCTTTCTATGGTTTATTATTACTAGAATTAGTGAATATGATCTTTTCCTTCAGTTCACTACTATGAGTGATCTCTGGTTTCTGTTATAACTATGCACGCATAAAATTGAAACTCATAATAAAAATTCAAAAAAGATGATTGTCAAGAATTACTTAATAAAAGTGAATTTCTTGTTTGCTGTCAATTATTAGAAGTTCTTATTTGAATTGTATAATTTACCAAATGCTTGTTTTAGGAAATGGTTGTAAAGAATTATTTTGTGGTCATGGTAAAAACATGTCGTCTGGCTTTCCACTTGGACAGATTCAGCCAATTTATATGAACAAGAATCAAATCATGCTTCTTTCTTTTCCCCCCTTTTTAAGTATAATGTTCTGTTTATGATGGACAAGATAAATAAGATTTAGATTTCCAAACCCTCAACTCAATCAGAGTAGTGCTTATTATTTGTTCAAAAGCAAAATTGAATATTTTTCATTTTTATTTTATAAAGTATTTACTAATTTGTTATATAGAGAAACTTATAAGGTAATGTTTGGATCGAATGTTTGGATCGAAGGTTTAAAATTGTATAAAATTCATCAAAATATATAGAATTAAAAACATTATCATAGAGTGCACACCGAGACATAGCGTAATGGTAAGTGCATATACGATCCGACAATTGATCCGGTTTGAATTTCCCTCCCCTAATATTGAAAAAAAAAAAAAAAAAAGCATTATCATACAGTTGTACAATTTCTTTCGGTTGGTGTAGAATTTAAATTTTAAGTATTTTTAAAATTTTTCGTCCATTAGAATGAGTTATTTGATAAAATCTCACTTCTCATTAGTAATTATTAAAATGAGGATTGTAATTAGAGTAGACATATGATGAATTTTTTTTTTTTTTTAACAAACTATACGTTTTATCTTGTTTTTGTTATGTAATATGAAATGATAGATATGTGCCAAACTTATAGCTTGAACAAAATTCATATAATACATAAAATCCCCCCAATCAATATATGCTATTGTGATTGACTTATTTTTTTATGAATTAATATTTAATAATTATGTGGTTCTTTCACAATGTGTTGTGACTATGGAGGTTGATTTTCATTGTATTCTCTTGGAAAAAAATTATCCAATTATGATCCAAATAGTTTTTTTCAATATTCATTAAAATTTCAGGAACCGAAAAATTTACATGGAAACCTCAAATTTAAGAAAGATTTCAATAGGATTACGTTTTTTATATACAAAATATTAATTTATATTTATCAGAAATTTTATAATATTAATTACCATCAAATTGATTACTACAGATATAATTAAAAAAATTCAAACTCGAAATATTTTCATTTCATACATATATAAATGAAGAGTAACTAGACCATTAGCTATTGACTTTTGGGACTTCTATTTAATTAATATAATTCTATAAAATCAAATCTTCCATGAATCAAAGTAAAAACTAAAAAGTTGATAATAATCTCTCAATTCACTCAAAGAACAAAACCCTGATAAAAAAAACCCCTAGCCCGCCGTGTCCTACAACAGAACAATTCACTCACAGTCCACTTTTGAAGCGAAGTCGCGCAAGTCACTTGATCTTCTTTCCCCTTCAATCAAACAAAAAGCTTAAATAGTAATCCGCCATTTCATTTGATTTTCGGTTTGTTTAAACTTTCATGGCGACGGCAGCTCTTTTGCGTCGTGTCTCCAAAACCCAAAACTTGAGTCTCCTTTGTAGACCCAGTAGAAGTTTAAATTTCACTTCTATTTCAGCTCTAATGGACAGGAATCCCATTGGAGTCCCCTGCCAAGGTAATCCATTTTCTCTTCTTTATCAATGAAGTATGGTTTTCCAGTTCAATCCCTTTTGTGGATTTTAATTTCATTGCATTATTGATAGTACATAAGCAAAAGTAAAAATAATAACCCATTTTGTGTTATGGCGTAACTCATACCTATTGATACTTCATTATTCATTGATATATGGTTAGGAGTACTGTATTTCTATGGTTGAACATAAGAAGAAGGGCTAATTACTATTTAGTCATTAGGTTTTGCTCAAATACACTAGTAAATATCTCAGTTTTTTATACTAGTTAGCCCTTACATTATAATTCCACTATGCTATAAGGTCCAACGACAGTTTTTCCAAGTAAGTGACCATGAAATGTCAAAAGTAACTCTAAAAATGGTTACTATGTAGTCTTTATGCTTTTAGTGAAAAACACTAATAAGGACCTCGATTTTCATAATTTTACATTATTTAGTCCTTGCACAGTAATTCTCCTTAACGATGTTTTTGATATTTCACAACCATTTAATGGAACTAACCATTGGACTTACTAGTATACTAGAAATTATAATGCAGAGAATAAATAGTATAATTTTGAAAACTGAGTTTCTTACTAGTGTATTTGATAAAAACATAGGGACTATAAAGTAATTACCCATAAAAAGAAAGATAAAGATTTTTTTTTTAAAAACAAGAAAGAATTTAAAGAATTGTTTCTTAGGTCTAAAATTGGAATGAATTGCCAAGTGTGAGGGCCTATTAGCCTTTAAGCAATGATCTGAAGGACAATTAATTTATTTTTCTATTCCTTTTCGAGGGCTATCATAATTGAGAGGAATTCCTCAGTGATTTAACTCCAAAGATTGAAAAATTTTGGAGGTTGGCAAAATCCAAGCTAAGATGTTTAGATATGCCATTCTTGAGGACGTGCGCTCCTGAACAGTGAACAAACTTTGCGTTGCAAGCTCTAAGTTCAAATCAATGTGCAACAAAATTCAATAGTTAGTATAAGAGTTGTTGCTTATTCAGCTTCTTGCTTCTGGCTGTAGTGAGATCAATAGTGACTGCTGTTGAAACTGTTGCTGGGTTTGATGAGATGGTAGTTGGGACCCAACAAAAATTCTACATGTTGGGTGGAAAAGGAGGTGTTGGAAAAACAAGCTGTGCTGCTTCCCTTGCTGTAAAATTTGCTAACAATGGCCATCCCACAATAGTGGTCTCAACTGACCCTGCTCACTCCTTAAGTGATTCCTTTGCCCAGGTATTAGGACTGACTTCCTCTTTTTATGTCTTTAATCATTCGCGCCTTTTTTTCTAAGTTGTCATTTATGTGAAACTGTACACAGTGACATCTAATCTTTAGAACAAACTTGCATTTGGTTTATTATCTCCAGGATTTAACAGGAGGGATGCTTGTTCCTGTTGAAGGAGTGGATTCTCCATTATTTGCTCTTGAGGTATTTGTTAAATGACACTATTTATTTATTTTTTTTTCCATGATGGGCCAATATTTCATCGTCACTTCATTTATATGCATATTTAAATTTTAGCTTTGTGATAGATAAACCCTGAGAAAGCTAGAGAAGAATTCCACACAGTAAACCCAAAGACTATGGATGGAATGGGCCTTGGCATGCTTGCTGACCAGGTCAGCATGTCTAATTATTTTTGTTTCAATAACATAAATGTTGCTCTTTCCTCTCTCCATTTGCTTTATTATTTCTATAGGCATGTAGCGAGTACTAATTTGTGAATAAATACACAATTAAATCTTGATTAACTGTTCTAGCCCAAGAGATTTAGAAGTTGTTAACTTTGCCAGCCCAAGAGATTTTGAGTGCTAGTGTCTTATATAGTTATATCTCTTCTAAATCTACTTTGGGAACTTTTTTGCATATCTTTTATGGATATAGGGCTTATGTTTGACTCGTATAGTTGTGGCTATCTTGTGTACTCGCTGTAGCTAGGGGAACTAAAACTGGGAGAGCTATTGGACACTTTTCCACCTGGTCTGGATGAAGTTATTGCGATTTCAAAGGCATGTAGAGTCTCCTTTTCTTACTCTAACTGATTTGCTAAATTTCTTTTTAGACTTTTGAAGCAGTCTTTGTAATTGCAATGGTGCTTTGTAGGTTATGCAATTTGTTGAATCCCAAGAATATAATAAGTTTACTCGGATAGTATTTGATACTGCACCTACGGTTTGTGATTTTTTTTGGAATATTAGATATCACTTTAAATTCCATTATCTGGTTATCACTTATTTTTCTCTTCTATAGGGCCATACACTTCGGCTTCTATCCCTGCCTGACTTCTTGGATGCATTTTTAGGCAAAATGATGAAGGTATGAGTTCAAAGCCCAAACTTAGATGGGCATTTGTTTCTTTTTCTCTTTCTTTTTTAACCAACGTTTGAAAGAAAATATTGATGTTAAACGTGAAAGAAGTCTAAAAGATTTTTGTGGGTCTTATAATCATGTTCTAAATGTCTTACAACATGGTTTTTCATTCTGTGTCCTAAGATACATTATATTTTATTTGGAAGTCCATCGTGATAGAAAAAAAGCTAGTTCTTGAAGTATTTGACTTTCTTGTGGAATTGTATACAGTCATTTCATTGTCTTACTGCTGTTAGATAACTGAAACTTTGTTCCCAATTATTTACTGAATCCAGCTGAAAAAGAAGCTAGCTTCAGCAACTTCAGCACTCAAATCTATGTTTAGAAAAGAAGAGGCACAACAAGATACTGTGAGTATAGAGGTTGAATTTGATAGTTGTGCTCTTTAATCTCCAAATATTTTGTCTTTAAACTTGTAGTCTGACAAACAGGAGGACAAACTGGAGGTATTAAGAGAGAGGATGGCTAAAGTGCGAGACCTTTTCCGTGACTCAGACAGAACCGAGTTTGTTATAGTAACAATTCCAACGGTATAACATCAGCTCACCTTTTTCAATATGGACATCAATTTCTCATGTAATAAAAATGAAAGATAAGCTCATTTACTTTTTTCAATTTGTGCTATCAAATTTCATACATCATTTTCTTCCAGTACTGCATCTGTGATATGTTTTATTGTGCTTTTTGATGAAAACTCAATTACATAAATTCAGTTTCAGGTTAAATTTTCTCAGCACTAAGTTGTCCGCTTTGCTTGAAGAGTAAAATGGATGTGTTGTGAGAAGCAATAAAATATCGCATATTTATACGGAAACTTGTGCAGATTAATATCTATATTTTAGTACTAAGTTAGGAAAATAGTGTTGTATCTAAATACATTCAGGAGTAAGCAGTTGGATTATACTAAATGACTTGTTGCAATTTTACAACCTCTTTCTAATGGTCAAACCCATAGTTCTACATGATGCAGGATCCACCAAGGAACTTTATGCCGTTCAGAAATACCCACACATACATATATTTGTGCTATAGATATACATAGCGATTATTTTTCTCAACTTGAACGGCAGTGTGGAATTGCAACCAAGTTTCCGAATTTAGGATTCAATAGCCACAAAGTTAAAAATAGGGTACAATGGCAAGAAAAGCTGTAACGTAGTTAGTGTAATATGCCTCAAACATATGGTTGTCACATAGCTTCTGTACAGTGAAAAATGGGTCTTAAGCACTTGCTTGAACAATTATTAATTAATCACCTTGTCACTCTGTTGACTTTTGTCCATTTAAGATTATGGCAGTAAACGAGTCGTCAAGGTTGTGTGCATCGCTAAGTAAAGAAAGTGTTCCAGTTTGGAGGCTTATTGTCAATCAGGTTCTGCCTCCATCTGCATCACATTCAGATTGCAAGTTCTGTGCAATGAAAAGGAAGGTACATCTGATATTTCCATTCACGATAAGTAGTATACGTTCCTTAGTATTATATATCTTCTACACTTTGCTTTGAGTCATAGATGCCACAAAAATATCTTTACTAACTTTTTGTCAAACGTTCCTGGTTTAAATATTCTGGTATCACCTTGACCTTTTGCACATTTAAAGTAGAGAAATTTCTCTCTGTTGCCCAGAGGAAGATATATCCTGGGGAGCTGGGGCAGAAATTCCTTGCAATTTTTTGTAAAGTATGTGATACCTTCCAAAGAAGTGGGATATATTTGTAACCTCCAAATACATTTATAGCCTAGTAGGATTATCTTGTTCAAGGCCCCTTGCAATTGCTATTACGAGCACCAGAGTTTAGGCCAAGAATAGGAGTAATTTCATTGTTCTATTGATGTAGCTATTTGCAATAAAGATTTCTATGGTTCCAAAAATGATTTTAGGAAAAATTTCAAATTATAATCTGCTGAAAATTATGCCTAGAGTTCCTCATTTCAACATTGTGTGATGCATGTTACCGCATTAGTTATGAATCACCTTGTAGCCCATTTGCTAGACATTTCTCATAAGATGTTTTTAGATACAAATATGCTTATTACTTTCTGTTAAAGCATTACAGCAGCTTCATTTGCATTTCTAATATTATAGGATCAGATGCGTGCGCTTGATATCATCCGGAACGACCCACAACTCAGCAGTTTGAGATTAGTCCAGGCACCTTCATTTGATGTCGAGATAAGAGGCGTCCCAGCACTTAATTTTATGGGCAATACAGTTTGGAGATAGAATTTATTTTTTGAAATATACATCTTTAGATATTCTGCTAAATTAACAAAATGTCTGGATATTAGGACTTCTAATTTACATTGCCTCGGGCAAGCTGATTATATGGAGGCATTAGGGTTGTAGCTGACATAGGAAGGTGCAAGAAAACTTGAGAGAAACTACTCTCTGCAGCCAGTAGAAGTTTTTTTTCATGCTCACTGCTTTCAACTATGTAAAAAACAAGAAACAGAAGTGCCTTTATCTAGAACTGGAATGTCTGCAGTAATGTTTTCTTTTAATATTGTTTAAGCAACGAATTCAAATATTTTAATTGAAGGTATAAGTGCCAGAAAGAATATTATCATTGATGGGAAAATATGATTAACCAGCTTTCTTTATCTCGGAGTACTGGTTGAACCTACAACCTTTTATTTTTCACTGCATTATTGTCCTTAGCAAATGCATTAATACAAAGGAAACAAATTAATGGGCAGAGGTTATATTTCTTCTTGGCCAAAATACTACATAGATTGCATCCCGAACTTTTGAAAAACAACCAAATGGCACCTCCAATTTTACGGGGGATCATTTATGCATCTAAAATAAATTTTTTGGCACCGACCACAGATCTCAAGCCCCAACAACCCATTATTTTCTTCCATGGAAGCCTCACATCCTTATTAAACACACCAGATTCCAAAATCTAATGGCAAATTTTTTTTTTCGTCCTCTTCCACCGTGATCTCCTTCATGATTTTGTTGATGGGTTTCTTCTTAAGCATCGAAAGGTTGCTAAGATCAGTTTCGGAGAGAGCTTTGGTTATTTACTTGATTGATTCATCACGAGGAGAAATAGAAGCCAAACATAATGAATTTAAAGGAGAAGAAGAAACTACTAAAATAAGCGATCGAGTCTTATTGGTTTGATGTAAAATTTTAGGATCTGGATAGAGTTTTTTTGTGGGAGAGATCCATGAGTTTAGAATAGGCGTTTGATGAGCATTGTAAAAGCATCGTTTTTCTCCTACTCTGAGTTCTCTCACTATGCAACAGGCAATAAAAGAGTTTTATTTATAATTAAATTTTATTTGTTGAAACTCTCTCTTTTATATGATAAACTCTTCTATTTCAAACCGGATCAGGATTAAGGATTTTTTTTTTTTTTTTTTTTTTAACGTCCTTTTTTATATGAATAAACTCTTCTATTTCAAACGGGATCAAGGATTAAAGGATTTTTTTTTATTTTTTTTTCATTGCAGAAATTTAGAGTTCGAAGAGTTGGATTCGAATTTTTTTTTGTAGAACTAAAAAACAAATTTGATTTTTTTAAAAGAAACTAAAGAAAAAAGGATTGCACTTAAGAATGAATAATATTCCTTTCACGCTCCATTATGCAGCTTTTTTTTTTTTTTTTTTTTTCATTCAGAAATTTAGAGTTGAGAGTTGGATTCGAATTTTTTTTTGTAGAACTAAAAAACAAATTTGAATTTTTTTAAAAGAACTAAAGAAAAAAGGGATTTGCACTAAAATGAATATATTCCTTTCACGCTCCATTATGCAGCCGTATTCACTCTCAGCTGCCAGCTTGGAAAGGTGCCAGCTTGGGAAGGTACTTAATTGGTGTAAAAGATTAACTAGAGGTGTATAGCTAGTCCCTGCAAAGTTAGGAGTGCGGTGGTTCAGCATGCAATCCATGTATTTGGTCATTTCTTCTAGAATTTGGACGGAGCTAAGCTTTTTCCTGATATTCAAACGGAAGAAAATAGAACTTTTTTATTGTGTGTGTATCACTTTCTATGTATATTATTTACGCTGGAAATAAAACTAACCATGCTCCTATAAAAGATGTTACAGTTTATATTTAAAAAAAGAATGAAAAGAAAAAGAGAACAAGAGGAATAAAAAGAAAGGGGAAAATGGGCGTGCCTTTATTAAATTCCTACTCTGGTGTTTGTCAAATAGGTATAACAAGAGAAGGGGAAAAGAGAAGAAAAAGAAAAAAGATGAACCCTTTACACAAAACGATAATACAGAAAGTTACTTTGGTATGATTTACATTGCGGCCTCATCTAGATTAACATACTGCTTTGTGGATGAAATTCCTTTATACATGTTTCCCCATAAACAATGAACCCCCAAGTAGTCTTCTTCAACTCCTTGAAGGACTACCGACCATATCTTTTCTCAGCATGTTTCAATTCTGTGTAAGTTTCTAAGAATGTTTGCATCAATATTTTTCTACTTTGTACATGAAGTGTGGAATTTACTTCTTATGAAAAGTAATCATGTTCATGAAGGCGAGAATACGGCAAGCTAATCCAAATGCAATGAGGAAGATTAAACAACGATACCAGTGACCGAGATCGTACCCACTTTCCATGAGCGAACCACACCGCGTTATCAACCATACACCATAGTATCTGAAAGTTAAAGATGGAGCAAAATCAAGATTAAGCTGGTAAACATACAGAGACTAATTATCACATATGGGGAAGCATAGTGTAAGAAACCTTTTGGCATTTGATATAACAAATGCTTCCAATGCCCATTTAGTGTAACACAAGTCAGATAGTTTTGTAATAAATTTGCTGTCTCCGCGGGTTGCTATTAGAGTCAAAACAACTGGAAGAAGCACTGCCCACTGCATAACATAAAAGGTAGCTTGTGAGGGGAAACTTTGTGTATCTGTAGTTTGTCTATATATGCATTGTTTTCGAGACACTTACCAGTTGAGCTGGACCAGGGTCAAAGCAAATGGCTAGTCCATAAGCTATCCCAGTCACACAGTAAACCAGACAAATCAAAACTACATAATTGTCCGTGACTGTTGATCTTGGATTGTTAAAGAAATAGAACATTGATAGATACACAAGTGGCTTCACAAATGTGTTGAAATGATCAACTGTATCCTTTGCAAGAAAATAAGCCAAGCTGCTCATGCCAGAAGCACTCTCTCTCCAGTAATGTAGCTTATCCAAAGAAAATGATCTCAGAGCCGCGATCTTGCAAAGTAGAGCTGAAATCCATCAGAATTTATGGCCAGTGAGAAAGCAAACCATGCACAGAATAAACTTGTATGGAATTTTACTTGAAACTTTTCTGAAAATTACATAGCTACTGTAAGATTGACATTTTAAAGACTGCTTTTTGCGTTTTCCCCCTAAAAGGAATTCTACAATTTTCTCATTCAAAACATCAAGCATCAAACAAAGGCCAAATCAATTTACTCATTCATACATACCATTGGTCACTGCATATACAAGAATATTTATAAAGGATTTGAACTTACAAACTGCAATGACGGTGTATGTGTAACCAAGAACTCCGAAAGTTTCATCGCTCACTTTAGCTAATGTTCCTAAGCAAATTCCAGCAAGTAATAAAATTAAATAATCTACAGCCTGTGTCCTTGCTTCTCGTAGTCTCTGTTTGCATATCCTGAAGGGGAAAAAAAAGAAGAAGTCAAAAGTAATCATGTTTAAACCATTATGATGAACTCACACTTGATGCTGGCAAAAGATTCAAAGGTTTCAGTAAAACTACAAGAGCATGTTATTCAGCAATTCCAAATTCACAAAAAAATTAATAAAAGAAATTGAGAAACAGGAGTAATTAATTATTGACAATTGATCATGATAAAAAGTATTGGCCTTACCTTCCCAAGAAGTATCTGTACTGTAGAAAAACACCAGGGGTTCTCCTATTGGATAAGTCGCCTGAGTCTATAAAATTGTTTTCTATATCATCTTTCTTCACCTCGACAGTAGATTTCACATCCTGCCAGAACTCTCCAGCAAAGGACTGTGGTTCAGATCCATTTTCACTTGAACTGGCTCCATGAGTCGAGTCACTCGTTGATGCTTCCAATGCATCAGCATTCTGCAGCATATCCATAGGAACTGGGTAGCCATTGTGAAGCATCCATCTAATCGGAAGTTGTTTATAGTTCACTCCTGCAGGTTTTACTATCCCCTCTAAAATGTCAATGAAGTAATCTGGAGGATTCTCACGCTCAGGTACTGTAATTCCGAGGCCACTAAAGTACTCTTCGACTTTCTTCACTGATCCATGGTACACTGTTAAGCCCCCCTTTGCTAGAAGTATCAAATCATCAAACATCCTGAACAATGTGTAACTGAAGAAGGAAAAAAAATGTTTTTCTCATTTAGCAAGCATATGGCATTAAAATGTTATAGAAAAGCAAAGAATACGAAAGTACAGTACACAGCAAATAAAAGTCATCTGGATTCTTGTAATGTAAAGCTAAAATTTACCTCGGTTGGTGGACAACCATGCAAATGTTTACCCCCTCAAGAGCTTCACGTCGCAGAGCTCTAAGCAGCAAAAGGGAAGAGGAGCTATCCAAACCAGATGTAGGTTCATCTAATATCAGAAGTGAAGGTTCCATAACCATTTCAAGCCCCACATTCACTCGTTTCCTTTGACCTCCAGAAATCCCTCTCTTCTCCACTGTTCCAACTAGAGAATCTCGCACATGCTGCAGCCCTAAGGCCTCTATGACTCTTTCAACAACTAGAACCTTTTCTGGTTTCGGTAGATCAGCAGAAAGCCTACGATAATGAAAAGCCAGTAATTTAAGATGCTTAATAAACCGAAAAGGGGATATATATATATATATATAATGTAGCTTCCCTGTTGGACGAATTCACTATTGCATACCTGCATCTTGCACTGAACCAAAGATTCTCCTCTACTGTCAAGTTTCCATGCACAATATCATCTTGAGGCACAAAACCAATGATTTTCTTGTATGCCTTGATTGGTTCTGCCTTACCATTTACCAAAACCATTCCAGACACATGGCATCCACTTGCCTTTCCAGTCAAAGCAGAAAGAAATGTTGTTTTTCCAGCCCCAGAGGGACCCATGACAGCGGAAACTCGGCCAGGTGATAATTTTCCAGTCACACACCTTAGCAGATGTTTGTTTTTATGCTTCAAAGTGAGGGTTAGGTCTTTAAACGCTATCTCAATCATGGGTCTCTTTCTAATTTCAATATCACTAGCCATTGAAAGCATCCCAGAAAAGGTTAGGTTCTGATTCTGCTCCTGCATAGCCTTTTCCTTCTCAATCTGTCCATATGCATACCTGAACATTTGGCTCTGAGTATGCAATTGCTTACCCTTTGGTGCATTCTTTTTTAGATTTTTATCTCCTATCTCCATATTGAAGCCTTCGTGACTCTCAGGATTATCCTCAATTTCATGCAGCATCTTTGTAAGGCTCGCTTTTTCCTTTTTCTTTCCTTTTGAATCACCTCCATCTTTACCTTTACCAGTGCCTTTTGACATCTCTGCTTGTCTTTTAGATCTTGTACGAGAAAATGTGCGAGATAATTGAGTTTGCAGTCCAATTGCGTGCTTCTTGGCAATGTCTTTTGCAGATTTCCATTTTTCCCGTGCTTGTGCAGTTTCTCTCACACTTTGAACTGCCTTCTCCCTAGTTTTTGCTTGTCTTTTCTCTCGAGTTGCGAGAACTTGATCAGAACAGTTATAGATGATGATAAGCAAAAAACACAATCCAGCCTGCATTGAAAAATGAAATGTCAGAGATGATGGTTCTGTGTATAAGATAATTTGTATATGTCATATAGCAGAAAATATATGCACGCCTAGGATTTGGATAATGTTTAATGGTTCCAACAACATAAATTATCAACAATTTCCACTAACGGCAAAATATAATGTCCAATAATTTCACTGATAATTTGAAGATGTAAAATAAAATGCACCTAGGAATAGATCAGTAGATATGTTTTCATTCGAGCCTTTAAAAGGAGTTGCATAATGCTTTTTCAATCAATCCTGCATCCTTCCTAATTATATAAGAAATAACACGAATCCAAGCTGCAATCCAGTCAGGGAACCAACACCAAGGGTTGTTTGGTATAAATGAAGTCTATAAAATTTTTGTGGAATTCATTTGAAATTTCATATTTTCATGTTTGATTTGAATGATAATATTCATTTCAGTCCCATGAATTCAATTTTGTGGAATTCAATCTAAGAGACTAAACTCTATTATCTATGAATGAATTCTATCCTTCAAGTTCTTTTCTACCAAACAAGAGGAAAAGCAAAAAAAAAGTAACCAAATAAAGAAAGCAGTTTAGTTGATGATTCTTTCACTTATCTTAATATTCAGACTGCCCGTGGCTGTTCTTATTTTAAATTAGCCCATAATATAACACTCTGAAATTTGATAGCAAGCAGGAGAATGAAATATCAAATTCTTCTCCAAAGCATAACAAGAATTGAAATATAGCACAAATGAAATCATCATAGAAGCTCAAATATGTCATAATGTCAAAGATTAAAGTGTAATTGGTCACTTACAAAAATCAAGATGCCATATGCAGTGATGTTTTGATTTGTTGATTTTGGTTCACAAGTTGCCAACTTAAAACACCCTGCAAAGACATCAGTAAGAGCAACAGGCAATCAGAACCATCATCTTGTTAATTAAACCAAATTTCTAATTCAAAAGGCATAGATACTTAAGACAAAAAAAAAAAAAAAAAATGCAAAAGACATCAGTAAGAGGCCACAGCAGGCAATCTAAGAACCATGCACTCTTGTTTAATTAAAACCAAATTCTAATTCAAAAGGCAATAGATACTTAAGACAAATAAAAAAAAAAAAGAAAAGGGTAAGTCCACAAAGTAGACATTAAGAAAAAAAAAAAAAAAAAGAAGGGTAGTCCCCAAGAGACACCCAAATGGCTAAAACTTGGTATTCCAATTTAGATATCCTAAAATTCAACACCTAATAGTGTTTTTATGGACAAAGGAACCTACCTGCTTGAGATGTAGAACCAGTCCTACAGTAATATCTGAAACAAGGAAAGCAGATAAGTTGCATCAGTAATAAAGAAAATGATGCAATGGATAACCGTGATATGCAGTGAAGGGGAAAATAAAATTTTTTACAGCCAAATAAAAATAAATGTAACTTGCAATTCTATAGAAATACATGGGCTGGAGGTTTTGGGATAGTTATCAATACCCACTACTGCAAGGCAGTTTCTGGACAGTGGATGGACAAAATGATCCTGGTGGACAGAATATCTCTCTGCTACTCAAAATATCAGCCCAAATATCAGCTCCCCCACAAGTATGATTTGGCCTTCCAGCAGGTGTTTGGTAATTGTATCTGCAAAACATTTCTGCTAATAAATATTAATGTATGCTAAAGTAGAAGAAAATTGAAGCAAAAGGGTAGAGAACAAGAATGAACTTACGGGTCACATATACCGGTGGTTTTATTCAATTTTGAAAGTGGGCAGTAAGCACCTAGCGGGCATGCTTCAGTGAAAAGATGGACAAATGACAAGCAACAAAAAAATTAGTCGAAGCTCAATTTGGAACAAATGACAGTGCATCCACTAAACAAGATAACTGAAAGAAAATCCAGCGAGTTCCAAGAAGTTGTGCCTCAATACAGAAATTCCAAGTATATTTACGAGAAGGCACTGCTGATACTTTCTCTATATAACTAAAGTAAGCTACAACTCTTTTTTCTGAGCATGCAACTTTTAACGCAACTTTATTTTGCAAGGTGCACTCTATTAAGTTAGATCATATTACAATTTCATTTCCTAATTTCTGGAATTGAACTACAAAATATGTCTCTAGAAAAAATCTCACACATTCTAACAAGATGTATTCTTGGTTGTTTTGGGAAAAAAGTCCATCTCCTAATTGGTTTCAAACTCAGGAACACTGAGTAAATTGATTATATAGTTTTTCATTGCAATCAATCAAAATATTTAGATATTCAGGACTTTCCTTGGTAGCAATAGCAATAACACAAAGTTGATTGGAATAGAGTGCTTTCGGTAGCAATCCAAGCAAAGCATATATTCGTAGGCTTATTTATATGAATACTTATGTTTAGATATAAGTGTTTTATCTCATCATCCAGAAGTAAAATGATAAATGAGAGAGAATGTTTATAGAGAGCATCAAAGGTGATATGGATGGTTATTGAGGCATAAGAGAAAAAGGCTGTATCTAACCAACAAATGTAAAAACAAATACCAAGGGACAAATACAATCTGCACAGTTAAAGATTAAGAATACTTACGTATCATGCACGTAAGACCATGGGGGCAAAAGAAACCCTCACAACAGGGTTGACATTCTGTGCTTCTATCAGGCATAGTTTCTGAATTTTTGAGGTCAACCTTTTTACCACGACCAACACTACAAGCCCATCCTGGCTCACATCCAGAAACCCATGTGCTTAAATTACAGTTTTTGTTAGGTTTTAAATAATTGGAACTCTTTGATCCTTGTGAAAAGAAACTATTGAAGTAGAACTTGATTTCTGCTGCTGTGCATATCCGCTGTGTCATATCTCCTGATCCACCAAAGCCCATAAGAAATATTCAGGATAATTGTATAGCTGAAGCCTAAAGGACACTCAATTATAATGATAAAATTAAGAAATTATTCAATAAATTAAGTCTATGTTTGGTATGATTATAATTGAATTTAATAAAATTAATGGAATCAAATAAAATTCAACAGAAAAAATGAACGAAAATTTAATTGATTTCATTACATTATATTCACTTTCATCACCAAACACAACATAAGTTGTTTATTGGGGTAAAGAAGTGCAAAGTATTGAATGAAGCCAATGTAAATCAAAGCATTAGGCCCTTAATTCGAAAGCATATTACTTGCACAATATCCTCATTCTCATAATCTAAGCAGGAAAAAAAAAAAAAACAGGAGGAAAGAGAACCAAACTTTTGAGTTTTGATGAATCCAACTGCATCTAAATATCCTGTTGTTATGCTTAAACATGGTTGATTCACAAGATTAATTTCTTTATGTAGTTGTTACCCCAAGGCTTTCTACTCTTTGCTTACAACAAGAACTCATACTCTTTCTTTCCAATTTGTAAACCAGCTTTTAGAAAAGCACATTCTCTTTCTTTTCAATTCTAAATTAGTTTCCATAAAGGAACAAAATTATAACAAAAAGTAAAAAAATTCATCTGGACCAAGTTGTAGAGCTTCTACTGAAGTTGAAAAGCAAAATTAATGAATTATATGTCAACTATGACCTTTGCATCTTCTAAGGAAATGCATACAGCTTATTTATGTTTCTATGGCTCAATAGATGAGGCAGTGCTTCACTAAATCAGGAGCTCAAGTCTTTAATCCCCGGAACCCCTCTGCTTTTAGAATAATGTTACTGTAAATATTTGTTTCATATTCTATATTATTATTTTAAATACATCAGAAATATGTTTTAAAGTGGAAGGGGGTTCTCAGGGATTGAACCAACCAATGCAGGTGCTCGATCAAATGGCTACTAGTTCAGTGACATTGCCTACCCCGTATTGAACTTAATAACATAGACAGATACAAATAATAGGAATTGAATTGAATATACCATACCTTTAGTTTTCCTGGCACAATCCGTAATAAAATCTGTATTTTTGGAGAAATTGAATGCCATATTCCAATCTGAATCCCTGCAAAACCAAGCCAAGACATCTAAACCTCCATTCCAAATATCTTTTCTTTAAGAAAAAAAAAAAATTTATGAACTTATACACACACGTCCGTTATGCAGAAACCAAAGTGTTTCTTTATGTCACTCTTGAAAACGGCGGTGAAATTTGAAAAACTGTTATAGACCAGCTGGGAGAGGAGTTGCTCCGCGGCTGGATTATTGTTGCTTTGAGCATCCTGGCAAGAAATGGGTTGCACAGATAATAATAAGATAATAGCAAAGACATGGATTACAGAGAGAAAATAACAACTTTGTATATTATTCTTCTCTCTGCTCATATCTTTCTATCAAGAAACGTTACAGTAGGTAATATTGTACATAAAGAGGACAAAAAAAAAAGATAAGATAAGAAACTGATTAACCAAAAGAAAAAAGGTTCAAAAGAGGAGTATTGATAAAGATGGTAACAGAGAGATTGCGAAGATGATGAATTTGGAGCAATAGTAACCAAGGGATTTGGAGCCGTTAAGGTTGGTGTTTTGTCGGAGCAAGAAATGGCGGAGAGAATGATTTGGCGGGGTAATAGGGGAGGGAAAGTTTAGAAATGCAGAGGGGTTAATTGGAAAGCTTTATACGTTTGCTCGAGTAGGAAGGAATCTATTATAGAAAAAAAAAAAAACATATATTCCAACTCGGTTGTGTTTTTTTTTTTTTTTTTTTTTTTTTTTTGCGGGGTAAATAGGGGAAGGGAAAGTTTAGAAATGCACGAGGGGTTAATTTGGAAAAGCTTTATACCGTTTGCTCGAGTAGGAAGAATCTATTATAGAAAAAAAAAAAAAACATTATATTCCAACTCGTTGTGTTTTTTTTTTTTTTTTTTTTTTTTTTTTTTTTTTTTTTTTTTTTTTTTGTTATAGTAAGATTTTTTTTTCTTTTGGCCAATAGGATTTGTCCATTCTAGATTTCTTTTTTTAATCATCCATTCTCCACTTGTATTAAGACTAGTATTCAAAAACATGCAGCTGTGTAACATATCCATTATTTATAATTTATTTTATTATAAAGACAATATAAAAATTTAATATTTTTGTTATAATTATTATATGAATAAAAATAGGTGTAAACTACCATCATATATATCTAGTATTTGATGAAAAATTTTAATAATTTTTTACAATAGATTTTTTTGATAAAATGAAATAGTTACAAAGTTGAAAATAAATAACCATTTGATCTAAGATATCGCCGTAGAAAAAAATACATATATAAATTATTGGTAATCAAATTCAAAAAAATTTTGTGATAGTATATCAAAATAAAAAAAATCAAAAGTTAAAATTAGTACCTAAGTCATTATTAATAATAAAGCCAGAAGTTTTCGATATAACAATAGCAAAGAAATTCTTAATAGAATAATGGTAAAAAGTCTTTAATGAATTATTGATAATAAAAGCAAAAAAATCTTAATCCTTGTGATAGTAGCCAGAGAAATATAATTAATTTGATAGATTAAATTTTTCCATTGAGTTAAATTTAAATATTTATCCTTTATTAATCATAATAAATATAATTGTAATATTAAACTAAAAATATGCAACAAACTTTAACAAAAAAAAAAAAAAAAAAAAAAGGAGCGTTAAATGTTAAAAAAATTACAATCATGATTTAAATAATTTAAAAAAAAAATTAACAAATTTATACTAATTGAAAATTGATTGAGAAATTTACTTAGTAAATTAAAGATAAAATAATTAATACATTCAAAAGATAAGACGAAAAGTAGCTAACAGTATTAAAAAAGCAAACAAAATGAAATATGAGAAAAAAAGAATTTCAATTTATAATTTATAAATTTAATTATTTAAAATTTTTAATATAAAATAATTAAATCTTTTTGTAACAAAATGAATTTTCATTGCTAATTAAGATTGGATAGAATTTTCAATTACGATTTCTAATATATATTTGATTAATATATATTTTGATTTGATCATTAATCATCTATTATAATTATATATAATATATTTTTTTTTTTATTAATGATTATTATTATTAGGAATCCTATATAGTTTGAATTGTTTTGAATTATATTTTTATTAATTTAAATATAATTTAAATAATTAAGTGTACATTTTGCTTGTATTAACCTGTCAACAGGAAATAATACAAACTTCAATTAAACTAATACAAATTAATAGTCACAAAAGTCAAAGATGTTTATGCCTTACTTTTTTTCCCAACTAATGAATTTATTTATTCAAAAGTAAAATTCTCAAATTTTAATTTTCTTAACATATATTATTTTATATGAATATTATGATAGAATTTATTATTTTATCAATTGAGAATTTATATTTAAGATAGAAATTTTATAATCTGAATAATGCAAATTAGCTTTATTTGCATTATAAAATTATGCAATTAATAAAATTAAAATCTTGAAAGTTTTATATTTTTACTATATATTTCTTATATAATATATAATGTAATTTATTATTTTTTTCAATAGAATTTATGTTTAAATAGAAAATTAAAATCCTTAATAATTAAATTATATTTATTTTTCAACTAATAAAATTAAAATCTTTAATAATTTTCTGTTTAGTAGATTAAACTTCTTATGGTTGCTAGAATATACTTAATAAATATAAATAAAAATTATTCTATTAATTTGTAAATAAAGAAAGTTCAGATTATATTTACCGCAAAAAAAAGACATGATTGTAAATTTAATAATTGTAAATTAGCAAAGCTTGATGTAATAATTCTTCATGGTCAAAAGCAACAAATTCGTGATAATCAAGAGTAACAAATTCTTGATAGTCAAAATTCAAAAAAAATTAAAACCAAACGTATATATAGTGATATGATAGAACAAACTCCTAATTAGAATAATATTAAATGACAAATTCCTAATTAGAGTGAAATTAAATTATAATATTTATATGATAAAAATAATAAATTGATATCAGAATGATAATAGGATTAAAGTCAAATTTCTAATAAGAATGAGATTAAATTTATAATATTAATAAAAAAAGCTACCAATAAGGGATTAATAAAATAAGGGATTAATGAAATTAATATCCTTATATTATAATATATTTATGATTAATAAGATATTAAATCAATGTATCTTTATTATGTTTAGGAATTTCAAAAGTTTCTAATGTAGAATATGACTAAATTAATTTTTAATGAAATTTTCAATTAATCACCTAATAAAATAACTAATAAAATTAAGAGTTTTCTAATTAGAATAGAGACTAAATTATTATTCAATTAACCAATTAATTAAATAAGTCTACAAGTAGCATTTTAGAAAACTCAAACTTTCGCCTCTTATTCACTAACTTTTATGATATATATATATAATAATATTATATATAAATATATATATATATATATATATATAATTTAATTTGAAATTTCTATACATGCAAAAAAAATTATGATTTATTATATTATAATTTAAATATTGAAATTCTCATGGTTATTTCACTTTCATCGAAATACTTTAAACTAAAAAAATAAAAAATAAAGATTATCTTGATCAATATTAATTTTACAATCCAAATAAATTTTTTTTATTAATAAAATATAAAATAAAAGGGAGGAAGAAAAGAGAAAAGGAACTGAAAATAGGTGTTGTATTTTGGTTATAAATTTGCAACGGATAAAAATTCCGTTACTAACCTATTTGTAGAACCAACTCTCAGCAACCGAAGAAAAAATTAAGGGAAAATTATTATTTAGTCCCTTAGGTTTTACATAATTATCCAACTAATCCCGAGGTTTGCGCTAATATATAACTAGTCCCTCAGGTTTAACTCCGTTAACTAGTCCCTCAGGTTTAAAAACTCCGTCTAAATTAAAAGGTCCTTCCGTCCGAAAAGTTGATCTATTTTTTCCGTTTTTTTTCCGTTAATTGAAGACTAAAAGACTTAAACACCCCTTCCTCGCTGACGTGGACCGGTATGACCTTCCAAGCGAGGGAAATGAAAGGTCAGACTGCTATTCTCCCAACTCTCTCACGCAAAAAACGTCTTCATCTCCAATGGAGGTGTTGAAGAATTTTTGTAGAAAATGATGTTTATTGACGAACTGAAATGAGCGGTCGTAGCATGTAGTGCTTCGTTTGCGTGGAATCACAGTCTTAAAGCTTCGTTTTGAGGTAAATACCACATACTCAGACCCACTTCATTTTTTGCTTGAAAAAAAAATTGAAAATCAATATCATTGAGGATGTTTATGATGATGATTTTTGGTGATTTTTGGATTATTGAAATGCTTAAATGCATCGTTATGAGTTGTTTTTGTGTGTAATTGATAATGTAATTGAGGGTTTTTGCAAGACGAAATGCCTTTTTTGTTAACCACATGTGGTTAAAATTACAATGTAGGAAAAACTTGGAATTTGATGGGCTTTTTGCCTGAAAGTTGCACCACTGGGCGGTCATATATGAAGGGATACAGTGTATTTGTTATGATGCACAACCTTGACAGAATGAGTTACATTATCCTCTTACAAAACGTATGCAAAGTTCCAAACAAAGAAAAAGATGGAAATGTGGATATTACATGTTTCTGAAAATTATAGAATAGAGTATAGAATAGAGAATGATGCAGACGTTACTCTAATGTTTGAAAGATTCAAGGACACTGATTATATTGAACTGAATTTGGTTAGGAGGCAAGGTGAACCAAGTGTTGTTATGCCAAATGTGTTCCACAGTCAGCTGGCAAATAATATGAGTTTACATAATGAAAATTTGCAGCCTAATAGGGAAGTTCCAGGCAATGGTGTTGGGGAGGCAGAAAGTAATATTAGGTCACAAACTGAGATAAGTGGGGATGTTGGAGATGTGACCATTATTGAGCAAGAAAATGTAGGTGCTGGGATTGAAAATACAGAGGGTACAGGTAGTGGTAAGGGGAAGGGGGCAGAAATGTTGATAGGATCACAGATGTGGGATATTGTGCTGGCTGACAACACTGAGTATTCAGTATTCAGGCTATGTAAACCAGTTAGCAGGGGAAAAGGGAGGGGGGAGAGGGCGATGTAGAGGCAGGGCAAATGTCATGAGCCAATGTGAAATAGGGACAATAGAAGGGGAAAAGGCAATTGCAGTTTTGGAGCCTCTTACAGCTTTTAGAGATTCAGGTTACAACACACAACAACACAATTGGAGTGAGAGGGGGAGAAACAGAAACTGTTGTTTGATAGCCAGGTCCACAGATGATATGACTATGTCTTTTCTTGTGATACTGAAGATGAGAGTAGTGGAACTGAAAAACACCTGAGGGAATGGAATCCAGAATCCAGAAGAGGAAGTTGACTTCAATTGATGATGTTGATGATGGTCCCAGTGATGTTGATACTGACAAGGAACAGTCAGCTAAAAGTAGTGACATGGCGGTTGATGCACCAGAAGGAGAAGAACCTTAAAAAGAAAACACGAGATCCTTGAACAGAAAAATAATGACAATATATTTTGAAACACCAGTTGAAGGTGATATTGAATTCAGGAGTTGGGCATGCATTCTTAAAGTG